TTGCGCTGCATTTCTACAGTGTAAATTATAGTGTGTCTAAATAGATTTTTTTTAAATGCATTTAATAGTTTAATAGGTTACCCACTGATATGAAAATCACTGATAATTTCAATACTTACAGAAATAAGCTTAGAGCTATTTAACAAAATAGCTCTAAAATGAAAAGAACAAAATAGCTCGAAATAATGTTTTTATACTTTAGACGAATTTATTAATTGCGTGTTTGACAAGTAATTTAACTTTGTTATGACAAGTCATTTATCTACTATCTACTATATAAGCTATCATTTTGTTTTTATTTTTTTTTTAATTTTGGTATTATTTTTTAATTGACCTTATTGTTTATTTCTTTAATTTTTAGTTTATAAAAAATTGTAACTTATTTCAAACATAATTGTACGATTGTTAATGTGAATAAATAAATGAAATGAAATGATCTCCAATTTTGGCTGATATTCATATTTTTTTCGATAGATAGATAATTTATTTGAGTTACTTACAGCACACAAATAATAATAGACATAGATAAATGTGTACAGTGAATATAGATTTTTTTCTTTTAATTTCCATGAATTGCAATTTTTTTTATACAACGTAGATGGCAAACAAGCTGACGGCCCACCTGATGGAAAGTGGTAACCGTCGCCTATAGACATGAGTAGTACCATGGACATAACAGAGTGTACTGTTTCGCCCATGATACCCCCCATGCGTTGCCATTCCTGAGGACTCAGGTGTTATTCCTCTGTACCCAGTAAATTCACGCCATATCTCACCCTTCAAACCGAAACACAGCCATGCAAACACAACTGTTTCATGGTTGAAACACGAATGGGACAGAGGTACCCAAGCAATCGACTTTTGTACAGTCTCCCTCTGGTAATATTTAACATTATAAACATTAGTCAATTGTTTTTTAATAAAAAAAAAAAAAAAACTATTATAACACAGTTACATTTACATGACTTTGTATTGATAAATTAATTGTTCTGATGTTTCACACAGAGATATCTAGTGAGCGGGCTCCGTAGCGACACGCAATCAGCCACGGCCCCCGTTATCTGTCCAGGCAACTTTGAAATAGAAAAACTTGCGTCGTTAGTGTGACCGCCGCTTTATATATAGTCCTTCCTTCCTGGCTGCTTACTGTTAGATAAAAGAAATTTATTGAACTCACGCGTTCAGTGTTTGACGTGGACTCTGCTGCGTTGGGTTTAGGTTCAATTTTCTTGGTATTATACAATGGTATTAACAATGTATTTCACCTATGTGTGTTATGATCTCTTTTTCTATTTGTAAGTAGGTCTTATATCAATTTATCTTTTTTATTTGTTGTAGTTATTTATATATTATTTTCTAGTCCCATTTATGTATTCACTAGAGGGAGACTTTGTACGAAAGTCGTTTCCTTGTGCACCTCTGTCCCATTCGTGTTTCTACCGTGGAGCAGTTGTGTTTGCATGGCTGTGTTCTGATTTGAAGAGTGGGATATAGCAGTGAATTTACAAGGTACAGATGTATAACACCTGAGTCCTCAAGAATGGCAACGCGTGGGGGAGTATCATGGGCGAAACAGTATACTCTATTATGTTCATGGTACTGCTTATGTCTATAGACGACGGTTATCACTTTTCATCAGGTGGGCCGTCAGCTTGTTTGTCATTCTAAGTCGCATAAATATATATATATATATATATATATTACGCGAGAGGTATTAGGCGCGCGTTGCCGACCCTGAAGAAACCTCTTTATCCCCCTTTTGAAGAAACCCATGCTGTAGTCTCTTGGGAAAACCTCGGCAGGTAGCTCATTCTATAACCTGAGTGTTCGTGGGAGAAAACATCTTTGAAACCGCGTTGTACGCGACCATTTACGCTGTAGGATATGAGGGTAAACTCCCTGTCGATGGCGAGCCGTACGATGATAGAAAATGGCCGTGGGCATCATATTGATTAACTGGTTTAATTACGTAAGAAAATAATTTAAGGTCTAAGTAATAAATAAAATGAAATAAAAATAATTTTTATTCAAGTAAAAATAAAAATATTATTTTATTCAACGTAACTTAATAATAAGCATTTTTGAATAATTTTTTTTTAATGAATCTATCGCCCAATTCGGAATGCAATTTCAGCTGAGATAAACGGGCAAGGAACACAGCTGTTGCTTTTTTTTCAAATAAGAGTTAATTGTATAACAAAATAAAATATGTCTGGATAAAATGACTATCACAAACTTCGTATTGATTAAAGAATGAAAAACCAGAGGGAGACTTTGTACAAAAGTCGATTGCTTGGGTATCTCTGTCCCATTCGTGTTTCAAACGTAAAGCAGTTGTGTTTACATGGCTGTGTTTCGGTTTGAAGGGTGGGATATGGCGTGAATTTACTGGGTACAGAGGAATAACACCTGAGTCCTCAGGAATGGCAACGCATGGGGGTTATCATGGGCGAAACAGTATACTCTATTATGTCCATGGTACTGCTCATATCTACAGGCGACGGTTACCACTTTCCATCAATCAGGTGGGCCGTCAGCTTGTTTGCCATTCTAAGTTGTATAAAAAAAAATAAAGAAAGGGAAGTTTCTAAAAAAAAAATAATACAACAAAACATAATTGAAACATAGAGAGCTCTAAGAAATCGGGCATTGTGTTTGTACAATTTATATAAATCGTACAAACAGATGAGTAATTTAAAATTAATTTGATTCTGCAACTCGTTCACAAGGGCGCCGCCGTGAAATTAGCGCAGTTGGGTCTGAAATCCAATTTTGTCATTTCTAGAGATGTTTGTTCGTTTAAATTGAAATTTGGATGCTAATACTCAAGAGATACTGAATTCGATTTGAAAGAGGAAAAAAAATCAAACAGTTTGCATAAATTTCCCCGGCGCAAGAGTTATTATTGAATGGTGAAATAAATTAAAGATTTTGTTTTGGATACCAACTAGTTTATTTTTATTATATCTGTCGTTACTATCCATTGCTGAATACGTCTCCCCCTATTGGGCGGTTTTGAGAGTAGATGCCACGTTTGGCAATCGGGTTGGTAACCGCAGTTAGGCTATTAATGATGCTTTAAGAGGGACACCGCTGCTAATTCCTCTACCGTTAAGTTCTCTTAGTCGACTCTTACGACAATCACGGGAAAGGAAAGGGTGGTATTCTATGCCAGGACCATGTGGTAACTGATGACACTGTAATGACCAGAGGGAGACTTTGTACAAAAGTCGATTCCTTGGGTATCTCTGTCCCATTCGTGTTTCAACCGTGAAACAGTTGTGTTTGCATTGCTGTGTTTCGGTTTGAAGGGTGAGATATGGCGTGAATTTACTGGATACAGAGGAATAACATCTGAGTCCTTAAGAATGGCAACGCATGGGGGGTATCATGGGCGAAACAGTACACTCTATTATGTCCATGGCACTGCTCATGTCTATAGGCGATGGTTAACACTTTCCAACAGGTGGGCCGTCAGCTTGTTTACCATTCTAAGTTGTATATAAAAAAAAAGTATATCCTTTTAGATAAAAATAAAAAAAAACCAAATTCGTATACAATTGACGGAGTTATAAGGTGATAAACATTAAAAAAAATACAATCGAATTAAGAATCTACGTCTTTTTGAATTTGGTTGAAAACAGTTTGTCAATCAATGATGAAATAGATAGATACTCTTTATTGTTTCCTCCAAAAGATTACAATAGTAAACTTATTATAGATACAAACAATTACAAGAAATAATCACAATGAGAAAACAATGGGCGACCTTATCGCTAATAGCGATCTTTTCCAGGCAACCTTTGGATGGAGAGGAGAATATGGAAGTATTTATAACTCTACTGTTAAGAAATATGTGATTTATATATTTTTCAAAATATATATACATTCTTGTACTTACCACATGGAAGGTACATGTTTATATATTTATACGGGTCGAATAGTATTTGCAGATAGTAAAAGTGATTTTACGATCCGAACACCTCGCCGATGTCAGATCGACTTGAGAGATAATATAAGATCTGACAGTCGTTTGTGTAATCCGATAGCTTTGTAATGGTATCGCGTATAACCCTCTTGTGTATATATAGTTACTTGAAATGCCTTGATTATGTTAAGTGAAGCCATGGCTAGGTTTCAACTTGTCAGATATCATTTCCTCGTTGCCGAGCATAAAGGTTTTAGTGTACAATTAAGGTAATTGATAATTGTGTTCTCGATTACTCGAAACAGTTAATTAAGTTGATTTCTGTTGAGTATATTGGGACTGATTGAGTATTAATATTGTAGTACATAGTTGTATTTCCTTACAGGTACAATTTGGAATATAATTTTAACATCTATCATTATTAACAATAACTCAATCCCGGGTATACCATCTTAGCTTATGCTGAGTGATACATATGTCAATTTTGCTGGAAACCATAAAAGGTAGGCTTGGAGCTTATACTAGATTAACGTAACAGATAAAAATTATTCTATTGATCATGATACCATTCCAAATAAAACAATATCACAATTTATTTATTTAAACTTTAATGCACAGTAAAATTCTATATACATTTGGCGGTATTAACACCGGACGGTGTTCTTTACCAGTCAATCATTGGGCGAACAGAGAAATACGTAGTGCGTTTTACGGTATGATGTATTTATATCATCGTCCATCATCGTCATATCAGCCACTGTCCACTGCTGAACATAGACTACCCGATAAAGGGGGGTTTTGCCAGTAGTTGTTACGTTTGGCAGGCTAATTGGCAATCAAAGCTAGAGTTAAAGTAAAGTTTTCTTAGTCGCCTTTTACAATCCCCACGGGAAAAGAAGAGAGGGTCCATTCTATATATATATATATATATATATATATATATATATATATATATATATATATATATATATATATATATATATATATATATATATATATATATATATATATATACAGCTTAAAGTTTACAGCTTAAAATAACAATAATTTATCCAAATAAAAAAAACCAATAACATTTTTAATATCAAAAGATAGTTACAATATACCTAAACAATGTAAATATTTGGAGAGATATTCATATTACATACGTTTCGAATGTAAATATATTATTTTATTATAGCTCTCAATATTTACTAGTCATTCGAATGAGTACTAGGTTTACATAACCAGTAAAGAGGTAATAATTTATGACAAATTAATACGTTCTTGTTCATTAAACTACTTAAGTGTTTCAGTGCACAGTAAATAGGTATAACACTCATTCACTAAGCTCCAACTTATTATACAGTGGTCACCTCAACGTAAGGGTCACAGTTCCATTCGACAACTGAATAATTGCTCCAAACGAAATTACCCTTTATTGACAAGGGCGCTTCTAGAGCCAAATACAAAATTGCCTTGGCGCCCTCCTCGAAAACTTTAGACGTCCGCCTGTCCTCTCGGCTCGACAGATTGCCTGGATTCACACAGTTTATAACTACACCATTGCCGGCCCATTCCCTGTGTTGCAGAAACGTAACAGCGTTCAATGCTACTTTACTAACGGCGTTCACACTAACACCCCATCCTAAAGTCTTTTCGACGCCTTTCCTAACGGCTTCCTCGTATTCTTGTAAGAGAGATACTAATTCGTCTTCATTCAACGTCGGGTCACTGATTCTATTTCTTATCTGTTCATTTTCTATAGTCTTCAACAGGCCAGCCGGACCTGAGACGTTTATAACTCTTGCATTATCTTCGAGTATAGGATAAATTAATTTACCAAAATTGATGTATCCGTAAAAGTTCACACTCAGTGTCTTTCTAACTTGTTCAGCGTGGGACATATTTTTCTTCGTATGCACGTAGTCTGTGTTGTTTATTAATAAACTTATCCTCTCGTCCAAGTCTTGTATGTGGTGTCTTAACTTTATAATACTGTTTGTGAAGGTTATGTCCATCGGAACATAATGCAGATCACAGGCGTCTCTCTTGAAGGCCTTCAAAATGCCAAATCCTGTTTCCTCGTCTTCAGTTGTAAAGTATATCTTTCCATTGTATACTTCGGTGAGTTTCTTCAGTACCTGATAGCCCAGATTGCTTGAAGCCCCAACGACAAGAGCTACGTTAGTCATTGCGACTAGATTGATACTGGACTACATGCTGTTATCTCGTTTATCTTGGATATGCCATGTGAACGCGCTAAGTAAATAAGATAAGTTTTGATGTGTGATAATATTATTAGATAAAGGTGAGACAGCTGTTTTAAGATGAAACATCTAGAATATGTCATACTTAATAACTGTGTTATAATTGTGTGTTATTATATATAAATATGATAATAAAAAATTAAATTAAACCAGAGGGAGACTTTGTACAAAAGTCGATTGCTTTTAAGAAAGCAGACATCTGTCCTATAAGTTTATATTGTTATACTGAATATATAATAATAAATATAAGTGTTATTATATATCATATTTCTACCGTGAAGCAGTTGTGTTTGCCTGGCTGTGTTTCGGTTTGAAGGATGGGATATGGCGTGAATTTACAGGGTACAGAGTACACATCTGAGTCCTCAGGAATAGCAACGCATGGGCGAAACAGTATACTCTATTATGTCCATGATACTGCTCATGTCTATAGGCGACGACTTTCCACCAGATGGGCTGTTAGCTTGTTTGCCATTCTAAGTTGTATAAAAAAAATGTGTCTCTTGAAAAAGCCGACTTCAGTTGTGACAAAATCAGCTATTTTGATTAAAAACTAAGCTACTGAAATTATTTTAACACTAAAAATTTTTATGGGACCTATCTCTACCCCTTCAGATAAAAAAAAAGTATTTTCGAAATCGGTTTGGAACTGACGCATTTATGAGGTACCAAGCATAAAAATAACAATCGATTTGAAAACCTCTTTCTTTTTCAAGTCGGTTGAAAATATAAAGATTTCAGAAAAAAAATAGTAACAAATATAGTGAATGTATGATAGTAACGTCATTACCTCTAATTATGTTTGCCCATTATTCAATACTACTGATTACGAAATCGAAGCAAAACAAATCTCTTCCAAGGTTTTATTAGAGATAAACAGATAATGTACGAGGCAGTATAACTAGATTTTATGTATAATCCATTTACTACGCTGAACTGTAATATGTTTGGTAAAATTCAGACATGTCAAATGCAAGTATTTTTTTTCACCGCGTATTAAAATTTCTGTTTTGCCAAAGGTTGCCTGGGAGAGAATGCTATATAGTATTAAGTCCGCCTTTTGTACCAGACATTTTTTTTTGTAATGTGGTCAATAAATCATAAATAAATAAATAAAAAATAAGTATTTTGTATGTATGACTACTCCATCAGGGGTTGCAGTTTAGAACATATTTATATATTTTTTAATTATTTCTCAACTTATTTCAAAATATTTTAATTTATAAGTTTAAAAATAATAACTTCTATAATAGTTGTAATGTTAAAATGGAAACAAAAAATAGAGGTTTCATTCCATTAATTATATTTCTTCTTATATTAAAAATAAATTTGTATTTTATTTTTTTATAATTATAATTTATTTTTTATTTTATTTGCTATAACTTGTAAATGTAATATATTTGTTATTTGCGACCCAGAAGTCTAATATAATTGTATTGCAAGTTATATATATATATATATATATATATATATATATATATATATATATATATATATATATATATATATATATATATATATATATATATATATGTATGTATGTAACAACAAGCTATGTAATAATGCTGTTGGCTTATGACATCTCCACAGATTGTGAGCTCGTCGATTCAAAGGCTTCGATAAATATTTATTGCTTCTCACAATTCCTTCAATATTTGCGAGTGTATTTTTTTATATATTTATCTCTTATCTCGTTTGTGAGAATGGTAACGTAACTATGAAATGATACTGAAATGCATTGATATATATATATTGCACTTACTAAATATAAATAAATACATATACTGTGATTAGTTCAAAAACTTGTTAGCAATCATTCTAAAATTATATATCAACAATATATCGAAAGTATATATAATAAGTAGGGATATATATTTACGTCTTTACATGTATCACATCTCTATATTTTAGAAATAATAGAATTTCATCGTGCCTCCGATCAAACTGTTTATAATCACTCCTCTCCATCCAAAGGTTGCCTGGTAGAGATCGCTTTCAGCGATAAGGTCGCCCATTGTATTCTCATTGTGATTATTTCTTGTAATTGTTTATATTTGTAATAAGTTTACTATTGTAATCTTTTGGAGGAAACAATAAAGAGTATCTATCTATCTATCTTATCAGCCTCTAATTGTCCACTACTAGACATAGATCTTTCCCATTAAGGATGGTTGCCAGTAAATGCCACATTTGGCAGGCGGATTGACAATCGTAGTTAGGTCTTAAAGATGTTTTAAGAGAGACTTAAGAAACTAAGAAATTATATAATTACTTTTATTAGGATATTATTATTAGGATATACATAGAAAAATCAAGGTTTTTAGTTGCATTTTAATCCTACCGGTGAAATTGAATGATTTCCCCAAAGAAATATGGATGATCAAAAATGACAAAACAATTTGAAGTTCTCATAATAACTTGACATATCGACGCCGCCATGTTTGTGTCTTTGGAAATAATGTTTTTTTCTCTACGAGTAACAGGCAAAAATCACGCCGATTCTGTATCTGTGGGCGTATCACAGACCGTAACTTAGTTATAAGGGGAGTGGGGTAGACAGATATGTCGAATGTAATCACCATCCATTGGGCAGTAAGGGATAACAGGAAACCCAGACACAACACGAGTATCACTTGTGAAAACAAAGCAAAAGAGAAATAAAGAAAAAATCTTGGTAAATAAAAGTAACATGAAAGTGAAAATGCATAGTAACATATATATGTTAAAGTAACAGAGATAGGTAGTAATATGTTTTTTTTTTTTTTATACTACTTAGAATGGCAAACAAGCTGACGGCCCACCTGATGGAAAGTGGTAACCGTCGCCTATAGACATGAGCAGTATCATGGACATAACAGAGTATACTGTTTCGCCCATGATACCCCCCCATGCGTTGCCATTCCTGAGGACTCAGGTGTTATTCCTCTGTACCCTGTAAATTCAAATGGAACAGAGGTAATTGGCGGTAGTAAGGAATAAAATTTTGATTATTTTCGTGTTCTGTTTGAAGGGTGGGGTATGGCAGTGAATTTACAGGATACAGAGGAATAACACCTGAGTCCTAAGGAATGGCAACGCATGCGGAGTATTATGGATGAAACAGTATACTCTGTTATTTCCATAGTACTGTTCATGTCTATAGGCGACGGTTACCACTTTCCTTCAGGTGGGCCGTCAGCTTGTTTGCCATTCAAACTTATATGAAAAAAAAGAAGATTTTGTCTCATTTTTTTTCTCCTTAGAATATCCATACGAAGTCGGGGCGGGCAGTTACTAGTTTAATATATGGTTTATCAACATCGTCTGACAGCAACAAAAGTATGTGACTATCGCGTCCATAACATTACAGTGCGTGATGGAATGTAATTAGACCCAGCTTGGCCAGTTGTGAACATACGTGAAAATTCACTGGCCGTGTGTTGATAAACGTTGCTGTTCCCGAAACGCTGTTACGGCACGCGAACAATTTATAGAAATGTTTATTCCCTGTTTTAGTGAAACTGAAACCATTTTATCTAATATAAGCCCAATTGTGGTGGGATCTTTTTATAGTATATAGCAGGGGTGGCCAATATTTTTTTTACAACTCAGTGGCAAACGAGCATGCGGCTCACCTGGTGGTAAGTGACTACCGCCGCCCATGATCACCCACAACACTAACGGCATTGCGGGTGTGCTGTCGGCCTTTTAAAAAGGAATATACTCTTTTCTTGAAGGTTATGTTGTCGTATCGGTTCGGAAATACTGCTGCTGGAAGTTGATTCCAAAGAGTGGTTGTGCGTGGAAGAAAGTGCCTTGAAAAACGCACGGTGGAGGACCGCCATTCGTCCAGATGATAACCTTGATTAGATCCAAGATCTACTGTTTACCGACGAAACCTTGTGCGATCTATTGATCACATACTTCTTGAAATCTCTAACGAAACAACATAGTTCAGTACACAATTGTGTAGTATTGTAGTATTTTTTATTTTATTAAGAGGGAAAACATAAAATTGAAAATTATTCGTAGTAACTATTTATTTATAACAGTGTGAGCATTGTGTCTGAGCATCTTTCGTTAGATTAGCAAAATATTATATTTTATGCCTCGCTACTATCGATTGGGCTAATAGTCGCGATCAACCAGTTGGCCACCTTTGGTAGAATGGCAAATAAGCTGACACGTGGTTTTGTGCCGGGCTTTGTGCCGGATCACATGTCACCTTTTTGTGTTTTTACTATTGAACGTTAACCGACTGTTATATGATCCCGCCATAGAATGGGCTACCCCTATCTTTCAAGTGGGCATTGTAAGAGGCGCCTAAGGGAAGGCGAGAGATGGGCGACAGCGTCCCTCTTAAAATTTCAACAAAGCCTAACTTATGGTTAGCTGGTAGAGAACGCCGTGATTTAAACTTGCAACTTGTACAAAGTTTTATTGTGCAATAAAGAATAAATGAAATAAATAAATAATTGCGGTTAAAGACTAAAGGAATTTAATGTAGAGGAATGGGCAGCAGCGTCCCTCTTAAAGCAAACTTCTCTAAAAGCCTAACTGCGGTTGCCAATCTGCGTGACAAGCGTTGCAACTATTGGCAAAACTTCCCTTATGGGGAAGACTTATGTTCAGTAGCAGACACTGATCGGCTGATATCATAATCATGAAGCCTAGTTGTATTTTTTTATAATATATAGTATGGTAAATAAGCTGATTGCTTACCTGATGGAAAGTGGTAACCGTCGTCTATTTGTGCCATTAACCAGTTATGTTTGCATGATGTGAAAGTGGCAGTAAACTTATTAGAATTTGGGGCAAATTATTTTTTTATACGACTTAGAATGGCAAACAAGCTGACGGCCCACCTGATGGAAAGTGGTAACCGTCGCCTATAGACATGAGCAGTACCATGGACATAACAGAGAGACTGTTTCGCCCATGAAACCTTCCATGTGTTGCCATTCCTGAGGAC